AGGCTGGCACTGAGAAGCCGTTTTTCAGTCTCTCAGTGCTTCAGTGTTTGTAAAAATAGCCTCCCATAAATGTGTTGCATTCTATGTTCAATACTGATTTCTCCAATTCCTTTACTTGGAACAATAATGAAATAAATCATAAATATAAACAAAATTTGGCTGGGCAGAAATATTTAGGCACAAAACACAGCAAACGTAGTACAAGATAAGCACGGAAGCACGCCGTTAAATACAACGAGTAACACTTATTTCGCGGATTAGGGTCTGCTGAGCTTCAAGGCCTTGTGGTTGAACGACCCCACATAGAATGAACACAACTTCTGTATCTGGTGGCTTGTGTACTGTGCCTCTGTATGTAATGCTAGTGGGTGTAGGAGGAAAGGAGTGGGGCACATGAATTGATTGTTTATATAACACAGTTCCTGTGTTTGCTGTACCGTTATTAAAATCACACAAGCCTGTAATAACGTAAGTTTATCTTAGACTTATTTGCCACATTTTTTCCGTCACTTTCAAACATTTCTGCGGAAGTTGCATTGCTACTATATCCCTCTGCCACCTCGTTTTCTTGAAGTTGCAGGTAAGGCATATTAAAAATTAGGAAATGCTTTGGGACAAAAAGATATATGCATTTAAATTTGTCTTACTATATTAAATTCAGCTTCCACTCCACTCTGAAACAGTGCCTTATGCAGACGAGAATTTTAGGAAGGCAATCAAATATACTTAAGTCCAGGTCAGGTTTGTTCTCTTGGACAAAGTTGTTTCTCCTAGGATGGTTGGTAGCTAATAACAGAGTCTGATTCTCTAGTTGTAGTTTTGACTTACTAGATGTCCTTGATAAATCTCTTCTGTGTCTTATCCTCATTTGTACGATAAAGATAAGGAGGCAGAGATCCATTGCACAATGCTTTGACATCTCTGGATGAAAAATGCCAAGTTTTTGTTATCATCCAAGTGTGGTCATTATTATACTGTTTCCTTGAGAACATTAAGCCCTTCTCCAACCTCTTCTCCTTTTCTTCCTCCAAAAAATTTATGTATATATACCTTACATCCAAGAACCCTCTAGTACTTTAGAAAGATCGGGGGATAATGTTATCTCTGTTTTACAGATGTATCAACGGAGAATCTATAAAGAGCAAGATCCTACTTGCAGATTATACATCTTGCTCAGTGGTCCAGGTCTCTGTCTCCCAGCAGCCTTAATCGCTAGACAACTTTGCTACCCTTTGTAAGAGAGAGAGGGATGAAAAAACCATCTGCTGCTTGTGGTTGCTAGGGAGTCGCATGCTGCCCTCAGGTTAGGCTGATCCACTTTCTCTCACATTTGTACTTGCTTGGACCACTGCTCTGTACTGAGCTACAGTTGATTTAGCTTTTGCTTTTTTCCTCCCCCTCCCAGTAGTATGGCAAGTGGACAATTCAAGGTGAGCTGCATGAATTTAAATGCATAACCTCTTAATAAATACATGCAGAAAGGGAGAGTAAATGTAGATTTTTTAAAGTGTTGCTCTTCTATTTGCTTGTTGTCTGAGACTTGCAGCATGGATGAGGAAGAAAACCGCTTTTAGTGAAGAACACTTACACCCGAGACACTGGCAGAATACTGAGGTTTATATAAATCTGTTCATTATGGCTCTGTGGGGAATTTCCAAATGTATTAGCATTTTTAGGTCCTCTTATCAGCACTTCAAAGATAAAGTGGTGTGAGATGAACGCTTCTCCCTTAGCGCACCGGGTTTTGCAGACACTGTGCACCCAAAATAGGTAGGAAAGTCTAAAAGGGGATTTATAAGCAGATGTTAAAAAATGCGGTGAATGATTTTTCGTATGGTTTTTAATTATGGTTTGTCAGATGGCTTCTCACAGGAGCATAATCATAAGCCAGATAATCACTGATGGTTTATTTAAAGAAAAAAGAAAAGAAGAGAAGGCAAGCTGGGTAGTGCTTTTGTGAGGTACTGCTGATGGGAGCTCTGTGTGTCTCCGTCGTGTTTATCTCCCTGCTCACTGTCGTCATGGAAGCTCAGAGCCAACTGGGAGATCCTGCTCTGCACGGGACTGGATTACTGACCCTATTGCATGGAAAATTGAATGTATTAAGCGGCAGCCGCATTTTCAACCCTAAGGACTTCACAAGGAATTTGAAACAAAAGGCCAGAGCCCTTTGAGGAGATTTTCATCCCAGGAGGGAGTCTCATTTTTAAAAAACAAATTAGCATCACCATAGAGAAGCAGCTTCCAATGACCAAAAATTAGAATACAAAATGAAAGATTTTTTCGTTCTCCTGGATGCTGCTTTCCATCTTGTCTTAGACGTAGCTGAGGTGAGCTAAGCTCTGACCTCAATGCAGTTGGTTGCACTCCCATTGGAAGTGGGAAAACTACTGACATCAGAATGTCTTGCCAATCCATGAGTGAAAGATAAAAGAGGCTCATTCTTTTATAGAGGTTTAACAACAGTGGTCTCTT